TTTTTTATTTTTTTGGAACGAAGTGTGGATTCGTGTTTCAGCTTTGCATATCTCCATTTGCAAGAAAAAACCACGCTTGGCACCTGCATCAGTCGAAATCTTTGCTTTAGTGGTTGTTTTGATTCTTCTACATTTTGGCATTGCTATATATTGAAGTATTCCCTGTAATAATGCCTTGGTAGCCGACACAGAAACATGGTGGTACTCAAATCCTTTTCCATCCAAGCTGCATGAATACCTTTCTAAAAGCTCTCCACTAATTCGACATACGCATCTTAAAATTTTGTACACACTGCACATCCAACAACACACACTGTCAATCTTATTATACAGTTATCTGTAAAGACAGCTCCATATCCTCCAATCCCTGAAGTAATTGAAAGCCATACAGTGCAATATTTATATCATACAACAAACATCCAATATGCAAGTTTTTGAATCTATCAGTACACCAAACAACCCTTGATTATTTAGCGTAATGTGATTAATACCTGTTTTGCAAAGATCTGAAAAGTTCTACAGCCGCAGAAGCGTGAACATCAGAACAGTGAAACAACTTGGTTATTATATTAACTTTCTTATGCGGTTCTTCAGTAAGCCTTTCAACCGTAGTTTCTTAGACAAACCTACAAATTCTGCATCTATCTTCAATCTATCTCCAATCAAATTCAGCAAAACTACAAAGACAAACTTGTTAAAATGTTAATAGCGTTCATACATTAATGTAATGGTCAGCCCTCTCTAATTTTTTTGTTGTCCTATCTCACAAAAAGTGAAGGGTCCTACATATCAAACTTGTACCTTGAGATATATGGAAATTTGAAAAAACATCAATAAGTGCAAAAGATCAATATGGCGAGAATCAAATGAGTCTCTCACTCGGACTAACTGGTGGTCATCCTTCTCCCCATCTTCAGTGTCATTTGATTGAAGGTAGGCACAACGCTCATCCATGTTACAATACCAAGATATGGCGACCAACTTGCCATACCGAGTTAAAAACAAACCAGGTCAGGTATGCATCCTTGTGTAGCACTCCTAATAAGAATGGTATGGAGAGTCCAAGCATTGCAGCACGACACTTGAACTTGCTATTGGCATCTGTAGAAAACCACATGAAATTGTTACATCACCGTATTAAACCCTTTGGTGGATTATAAAAAGAAAACAGATAAAAAAAAAAAGTCACTTTCTTGAAGGTATTATACATAGACCATGATTTTATTAATCAAATAGAGCTAACATAGGGACAAAGATAAATAGGAACTACAACACACAGGCAAGTGTTCCCATATGGCATGGTACATCTATAATTAAGGGTTTGACGGAGCTTAGTCATCAAACTACCACAACCATTCCCCAAGTGACTGCAAAACTACAAAGACAACCTTGTTAAAATCGTATTAGTGTTGATACAGTAATGTAATGGACTGCCCTATCTCTTTTTCTAGTTGTCCTATCTAAAAAAAAAATCAATGGAAGGGTCCTAGGTATCAATCTCGTACTACAGAGATGTGCAGAAATTTAGAACAATGTCAGTCCATATTGAACAAATCATTATGGTGAGAATAAATCCAGAGTCTCACTCGGACTAATTGGTGCTCATCCTCCTCCACATCTTCAGTGTCATTCGATTGAAGGAAGGCACAATGATATGTTACAGTGGCCTTGGATATTTTCTGAAGACTGCAGTGGCCTTGGAAAAAATATTTCTTTTCACTGGTAAAGAAGTGTTAGCCAGCAGTGAGGAAA